AAAGTACAATATGTACCTCTGAGATGTAGTACAGTAAAAAGTACAATATGCACCTCTGAGATGTAGTACAGTATAAAGTACAATATTTAGGTAATGTGAAGATTGTTGTGATAAAGATACAATAAACTAAATTTAATAAATTAATTATCTTACTCGAAGATAATAAATACTAAACAACTTGAAAATAATATAAATAAATTTAAAATGATAGACCCTCGGCTAAGCCCCGCCCCCCACTGCTATTTAAGTTTAGAGAGGCGTCAAACAGCTGTTCTCATCATCAGGGTGCTCTTATATTCAGGCCAATACGGTAATGTGTGTGTGTATGGATGCCAGATGAGGACAACAATACTCTGTACACAGCAGACCTCCACAAACTTCCTCTTCTTCCTCCTCCTGTTTAAGAATGACGTCAGCATACTTTAAGATGATGTCATGATTTAAGATGACGTCAGCATGTTTTAAGATGTCATGATTTAAGATGACGTCAGCATGTTTTAAGATGATGTCTACATTTAAGATGATGTCAGCATGTTTTAAGATGTCATGATTTAAGATGACGTCAGCATGTTTTAAGATGATGTCATGATTTAAGATGACGTCAGCATGTTTTAAGATGTCTGCATTTCAGATGACGTCAGCATGTTTTGAGATGACGTCAGCATGTCAGGTGATGTCAATAATTAACGATGTCACTGTTCGTTAAAGTCAAATAAGTCAAATAATTCAAATAAGGAAATAATAGATTATAATTTTTATAATCCTTATTGTTATTAATGAAGTATAATAATGAGCTTAGAGCTCGTGTTATGAAGTTAAACATCATGATTCATCTCTAATATCTATTTTATATTAACGTGAAAACATCTCCTTTAAACTACTGGATTTATTCAAATTTATCGCCAAACTACATTTTACAGATGACATGACAGCTGGTTTAGCGGGCAGGAGGAGTTCACAGATCATGCGCCAAGATCGGCATCACAAGCAATTTAAAGCAAAAGAAACAAAACAAAAGACCAAGGCAGCGTCCCACTAACGAATGTTCAGCAACCCAGCCACCCCCACTTGGATTCCCCCCCAGCTACCATTGGGTGCACTGCTCAGGAAGCTCTGGATCAGCCATCCCCCAAACACACGCTGTCCCCTCCGTAACGGATGCCTCCCAGACACTGCGCTACCGACGCAACTTATGCGGCCTCACGCTACGTCTCCGCTTGTTGTGGGAGAGAAAGTAGTTGGACTCGGCACCCCCGCTTGTGGGGGACAGAGGGCAGATTCAGCACAGCCGCTCGTGACGGCGGAGAGAAAGCCCAAGGACGCGATTTGGCAGCAGGTGCATCCTTTCACCTAATCAGGACCATGCACCTCATTACCGGTCCGGTGGACCCAATAGTTTCACCCCGTCAGTTCCACTTGGTTACATCGATAACGTTATAATGTACCTTCAGCCAGTACTCATGTTCACTGAGCAGAGCCTGAAGGCATCATCGTGTAACTGAAGTGAACCTCCGTTGGTTAGCCGTTAGCGGTGCTGCTAACGTTACTAGCTCTCCTCCTGTGGGTTAGCCGTTAGCGGTGCTGCTAACGTTACTAGCTCTCCTCCTGTT